TGGTAGGAAAGCTTTTTGTTTTGTTTTGGGGGGTGGCCAGGGAGGGAAGTGGTGTGAGTTGAACCAGTGGAGGGGGAAGGAAGAAAGGGGAAAGATGGCCTTGACCCTTCCATTTGCCATTGGTTGTGTGTTTTCCACCTCCTCCTTTATTACCTATAAACTTGGTCCTCGCTCTTTTTCTTCTGGAATTCCTCGGACAAGCCAATAGCCCGGGCGGCAGCTGTGGTGTGTTGTGTGTGTGATGTGATTGCATTGTGATGTGTTGTGTATTGTGTGTGCAATGTGTGTGGGCTTACCACCTACACGCATTCACACACATCTACACACATTCACGTGCATCTACATACACGCTTCACATATGCATTCACACACGAATCTGCCACTGCCCCTCCTATGGAGAGATAACTGGTCGATCCTGCCAGTAGTCATATGCTTGTCTCAAAGATTAAGCCATGCATGTCTAAGTATGAATAGTATTCTTGATACTGTGAAACTGCGAATGGCTCATTAAATCAGTTATAGTTTATTTGATAGTTTGCAACTCGTTTTTCGGAGCGGTGTTGTGCTAGACGGATAGCCGTGGTAATTCTAGAGCTAATACGTGCGACAAGGCCCGAGAGAGAGGTGTGTGTATGCGCATTTTTTCTTCTCGAGGGCTGCATTTGTTAGGTATAAAGCCAGCAGGAACATGACTGGTGAATCAGAATAACTTTGCTGACCGTTACACATTTGTGTGTGATGGTGTCTCATTCGAATTTCTGCCCTATCAACTTTCGATGGTAAGGTATTGGCTTACCATGGTGACAACGGGTGACGGGGAACATTTGGTTCGATTCCGGAGAGGGAGCCTGAGAGACGGCTACCACTTCCAAGGAAGGCAGCAGGCGCGCAAATTACCCAATCCTGACACAGGGAGGTAGTGACAATAAATACCAATGCACGGTGTTTTTTATGCACTGTGCAATTGGAATGAGAACAATGTAAAGACCTTATCAAGGAACAATTGGAGGGCAAGTCTGGTGCCAGCAGCCGCGGTAATTCCAGCTCCAAAAGCGTATACTAAAGTTGTTGCAGTTAAAAAGCTCGTAGTTGGATTTCATGCGGGGTTCACGGTGTGTGGTGGGGGTGAGACTCTGTTTCGCCCTTGCCCCGCACTGTTTGGACTCTGCAGTTTTAATATTCCCTGGTGGCGCCTTTGGCGCGTGCCCTTGATTGGGTGTGTGTCAAGTCACGTAGTGGTGGGGCGCTGTTGGGGGCTTTACTTTGAAAAAATTAGAGTGTTCAAAGCAGGCAGTCATTTGATTTGCTTGAATAGATTAGCATGGAACAACGGAAGAGGACTTTTGGGCCTGTACTGTTGGCGTGTGGTGCGGGGTGTGTGGAGTGAGAAACCGCAAGGTTTTCTCATTCCTCCCTCACCACATCGGGTCTGAAGTAATGATTAATAGGGACGGTTGGGGGCACTGGTATTTCGTTGTCAGAGGTGAAATTCTTGGATTTACGAAAGACCGCCGACTGCGAAAGCATTTGCCAAGGACGCTTTCATTGATCAAGAACGAAAGTTAGGGGATCGAAGACGATTAGATACCGTCGTAGTCTTAACCATAAACGATGCCGGCCAGGGCTCGGTGGGCAGCACAAATCATTCTGTGATGGAGGCGCCATCGGGACCTTTAGGGAAACCAAAGCGTTTGGGTTCCGGGGGGAGTATGATCGCAAGATTGAAACTTAAAGGAATTGACGGAAGGGCACCACCAGGAGTGGAGCCTGCGGCTTAATTTGACTCAACACGGGGAAACTCACCAGGTCCAGACATGGGAAGGATTGACAGATTGACAGCTCTTTCTTGATTCCAAGGGAGGTGGTGCAACCGTCCAGCGTGCTGTACACGCACAGATATAAGAATGCTCTCAATGTGTTTCTTCTTCTCATGTGGGAGATGTGGAGTTGATGATCCGATGTGGCAATGCTCATGTTGAGAGAAGGGATTCTGTATGTGAATGGAGATGTGTGAATGAAGATGTGTGAATGAGAATACTGTAAGAGCAATCACCGAAATTGATGAGACTACTTGAAGAAAGAGAAATGTACTTTGTTGTGTATGTGATGAGGGCATGTTGTTATGTTGTTTGATGATTGTGAACCATTGTATTTTTGTTCTCATTTGCACCTTGATTATGTTCGTTGATTGTTTTGTGTATTGTGATTGCTACCATTCAAGGGATATTGTGAGAAGTAGTTACGAGGCCGAGTCAAGCCACCATGTGACATTGGGCATGTGATGAAGTGAGGTAAAGTGAAGTGAAGTGAAAGGGTAGTGAATGATTGATGTGTTAGTGGGTGCAGGAGAGTGGTTGATGATATTATGTGTTGTGTTGATGAAGAGACTCTGAAAAGATATTGTAGAGGGGGAGGTGTAACATGACGTAAAGCAGCAGGTTCATGATTTACAGGAGACGGCAGGAAGAGATTGGTGCAACCATGTAAGGAGGTTGTTGCTGCATTACTCCGTGATGTGAAAGCTATTGCAAGTGTGGCGTGGTGTGATGTGAGGAGGAGTGTGAAGAGGAAAGAAGTACAAATGTAAGAATATCTAACAGCAGTTAAGAATGAACACAAACGACAGTTCAAATCGAAAGCAAAGCTTTGGTGAAACATTAGCAATTTCAGTCAAAATTGCGAAAAGCTGCGAGATAGTGCAAAGCGATCAGGGGTGAGGTGGTGATTGTTGATGCAGTCGGCGGGCTGGCCGTCCAGCTTTTGTTGTGAAATCTCTGTTTGATTACGGTAAACGGCGAGACCTTGACTTGCTGATTGGTGTAGGGAAGCGTGCGCTTTCTTGGTGGGGCTGTGCGAAAGCACTCCTCACATCACACCACTCAGAGGGACACTCGGCGTTGCTATTGAGCGTAAGCCGAAGGAAGTTTGAGGCGATAAACAGGTCTGTGATGCCCTTAGATGTTCTGGGCTGCACGCGCGCTACACTGACGGGGGGCAGCGAGTATGCTTTGGGTGTTTGTGGTGGGGAAAGCCTGTGCTTTTTCTTGCCATGAACATCTATTCTGCGCTGGAGGCGTGGGGACTCTGTGAAACCCGTCCTGCTGGGGATAGAAGCTTGGCATTGGGGATAGATGGGGCTTTGCAAACTGTGCGAAAGACTCCCCACATCACACCACTCAGAGGGACACTCGGCGTTGCTATTGAGCGTAAGCCGAAGGAAGTTTGAGGCGATAACATGCCTGTGATGCCCTTAGATGTTCTGGGCTGCACGCGCGCTACACTGACGGGGGCAGCGAGTATGCTTTGGGTGTTTGTGGTGGGGAGCGTGAAAGCGTTTCTCTTGCCATGAACATCTATTCCTGCGCTGGAAGGCGTGGGGACTCTTGTGAAAACCCGTCGTGCTGGGGATAGATGCTTGCAATTATTCATCTTGAACGAGGAATTCCTAGTAAGCGCAATTCAACAGATTGCGTTGATTACGTCCCTGCCCTTTGTACACACCGCCCGTCGCTACTACCGATTGAATGGTTTAGTGAGGCCTCGGGATTGGCGCGTGGGCGCTGGCAACAGCTGCCCATGTCATCTTTTGCTGAGAACCTGGTCAAACTTGATCATTTAGAGGAAGTAAAAGTCGTAACAAGGTTTCCGTAGGTGAACCTGCGGAAGGATCATTCCAAGAAGGAAAACGTTGAAAAGCGTGGTTGGTGAGAATTGGTGAGGGGTGGTGAGAATTGGTGAGGGAAGGTGGAGACACTGGACTGAGCCAACCGAGCCAACCGAGCCAACTGAGCCAACCAACCAAATCGCTCTCACACGCTTTTGTGTGTGGGAGTGAGCATTGTGTGAATGAAGACAAAAACAAAGCAAAAGCATGTGCATGCATGGGCATTGTGTGTCGCAGTGGAGCACGCATATTGTGTGTGTTGCATTGCGATGGCAGTGTTCTTGTGTGTGTGTGTGATGTCATATTGTTTGCCTCGTGCAAAGAAGAAGAGGAAATGAACACGGCAAGCAAGCGTGTGTTTTGGATTGTTGTTGTGGCAGCGGCTGCGATTGCACACACATGACAGTGTGGGCGAAAGCATCTTGCTGCAGCAACAGCAACCAAGCCATGTGTGCCGT